CTATGCATCTGCAGCTTGCTTAGAATTTGAAGGTCCCGTCAACTCAGAAAGAAAAGTCCATGAAAGAACTTCATGTGTTGCATATTCTGCTCCAGTGGTAGCTGAGAAACCAATCCTTACCCACTCGGGAACAACATCTTTCAAAGGCACAACTTCACTAAGAGTATAGCCAGTTAGATTTTCTTCCTCAAGTGAATTAGGATAAAGTAAAGTCACACTTAACAAATTAGTAGTAGCATTAAAACTTATCGCAACATGAGCCTCTTCAGCATTCTGCAAATTCCACGACTTAGTACTAATGGATTTGATACTGTTCACATCGATTCCAATATGTCTCTTTCCGTTGCTTGGATCCCAAGCAGCGTTATAGAAAGTGTCAAACTCAACAGCAACAGTTTGAGCAGTTTTGTCATAATCTTTGCCATTGAAAACTCCGAGATATCCACCGCCGGTTTGCGGCTTAGTATCTACAGGTGCGATGAAGAACGTAAACCCGTCGGCAACGTTGTAGCCGTTGGGTGCATCTATGACAAAAATGAAGGTAGTTTCAAAATCAGCAACGTTGCCTGTTTCGCTATCCCAGATATGGATAGGTGTGGAATAGAGAGCTCTGCCAACAGTGTTCTTTACAGCCTTGGTCAGTGTCAGCTTCTCTTTTGTGGTGTAGCCACCTCCTTGGAAGATTAGGTTTGGTTGGTCTGGGCGGAACTTGAACTTGGGGATACTGAAGGAAGTGATTTCAGTTGAGTTCACTTTGAAGAAAAGGATTGTTGTTAAGAGAATGGATAGAAATATGGCATAGAATGAGAGCATTTGGGTTTGAATGGAAGCCATTATTGGTAATAATTGCATGCATGCATGCTATCTGTTTATATATGGTGATGACTCATTCTACGTGTCTATATAGTGCCTTATAATGAAACACATATACAAAAACCATGTCCTATCATTTTCTACGCGTCCATCGAATCTTGTTTGAAGATAAAAATATTGCCTTTTGTTTAACTAGTTTATTGATTTATTTTTGCATGTTATAACTAGTGTATTTCTTCTAGGTTGTTCGTGGTAAGATCAAGGTTACTGTTTGTGTTTGGTTAGATAACTATTAAAATTATATATACAAAAAAATATGACTCATTATAATCAAATTATTTTAAGAGATTTTTAGTTGCTGATATCTATTCAAAACTTTTGGAGAGAGTTCTGCAGAGGAAAAAATAATGATCCGAGATTTCGCAAATATATATATATATATATATATATATATATATATATATATATATATATATATATATATATATATATATATATATATATATATATATATATATATATATATATATATATATATATATAATATTCTTGCGAAAAATATTAAATTGAGTAACTTTCTTGGAATTATAAGGAGAGTCGTAATATATGATAATTTTGAGAGATTCGAGTGACACAAAGATGTTCGTATACACTTAAGAATATATGTCTTGCTTAGTCTTTAGGTAGGAGTCATTTATATAGTCCTTCTATTGTTTCTTTAAGAGCCTTATTTAAGAGACGACTCTCAGATTTCATACCGTACCAAATAAGTATTACGGCCGCCGCCAATTATGAATGGGTGCATTTAAGATAGCATAACTTGTGTATTAATCAGTCGACAACCGTTACATTTGTGTCTAGGACCGGGCTCTTAGCCGGCTATGTGTTGCTGGATTTCGATCATGGACATTCTTTAGCCATTACTAGTGCAGAAATAATTTTTTACATCGGGCGAAACTGACTTTTTACATCGGTTCTGGGCCCGATGTAAAGTCAGACGATATAGTAAATCATGGACTTTTTACATCGGTTCTGGGTCCGATGTGTAAAAGACAGTTAACATATCGGTTATAAGCTAAACCTGATTTAAAAAACAATTATAACTTTTTTTTTTAAATTGACGAAACATTTTACATCGGTGGACCGATGTAAAATATACAATTTTTATATCGGTCATGCTTTATGCCCGATGTAATAGATACAATTTTGACAGTTTTTACATCGGTTGGATGTAATGACCGATGTAAAATATAAGTAATTTTTTTTGAATAAATTATTTATTTTCTGGATGGTTCCCTATAAAAAAAATTGATATCCATTTTTTCATATTTTTCCAATATCACACAGACTATATTTAGGTCGCTATATATATGTCATAGCTTTCCAACATCACATAGACCACATCTAGGTCGATATTTTCATATTTTTCACAACAAACTTACAAAATGGACAATTGTATTGCAAACTTGAATTGTATAACAACAAACAAACTCACAACAAACTTACAAATCTATATTCTTCACAAAACATACAAAAATATTTAACTATTTATAAGTCTTTTTCAAACTTGAATTACCAATATAAAATCCACAAGTAGATGAGTTATAGCTTCGGTAGATAACACCAAAATCACACTGCCTGACAATAAATAATAACAATTAACATCAGCAAAACATATCAAGAAACTCAATACATGTGCAAAAACCACATGTAATGTGTAAAAACTCAATAATAACAATTATGTGAAAAAACCACAACTTAGACAATTCTATAAAACTCACCAGATAAAGCTTAAGTTTTATATATCTCAAAGAAATATTTTGCCCAACAAAGTCGCAAATCATACAAATCATCTTGTGTTAATTCTGTTGGGTCATTAAATATCTATAATACATAAATATAACAATATAGAGTTATTCTTTAACAATTCATATTAAGTTGCAAAACAAAAAGTAAATAACAACCTAAAGTTATTTTTATTACCTGCATCCAATTCTCGGTTATATTGGCAGAGACAATATCCAACATATTTTTCATCACATAGTATCCATAATCATTAGAGTTATGTTGTTGTCTTGTCTACAATTGAATGACATAATTAATTAATATTTATCATAATTTTAACTATAGAATTACAATTTACATCACACTTACATTGGGATGAAGCCATGTAGCCTTTTTTCTATTTCCATTTGCCATTTGATGAATTCCAAAAGAACTAATACAGAAAGATAAACATCACATAACTAAATTTACTCGCCAATGAAAAATCACATAACTATTAATTACCAATGAAAGTCACATGAATGATAAACTTACTTTGTAATAATTTTTTTCGTGTTCTGGTAAATTTCCCGATGAAGTGAACAAAAAATGACAACTAAATTGTCTCTTGGACACATGACTATTAATTGCCAATGTCTCCTGTACGTGTGTGTGGAAACAGAAAAGTCACATAAAATATATATGTTATCAAAATTAAATAATATAAAATACAATTTCATAAAAATTCGTACCCATGAATTAATGGTAGTAAGTGGCACACTCTGTTTTCATCACGTAACTTTTCTACTACGTAATTTTTAACATCCTCTTGAGACTTCGCTCCATTATCATTATAAATACACCTAGCAGGGTCCATAAATCCATATAATTCTGAAATGGAATTCTCAAGACATACACGATGAATATACTTGAATAATTTTAAAATAAACATTAGAATCAAAGTGATGAGAGATATATCATATTAATAGAGATTGACTTTAATAAAACAATAAAATATACTTACGTGCACCAATTTGCAGAATAAACACGTCAAGCTAATAACCTAAATCCACCAATAACTCTCTGATACACTTAGCTGAAATATAAAAATTAGAGACACTCGCACAATGACTTAATTGTATTTCCAAATGGTTGTCTTTCATTTTTAAAACCATGAGTAACAATCTATGAACATCATCAACTTCCACGTCTTTTGTGCTTCCTTTTGCAGCTGAATAACTTCCTTTTCCGCTTTCATCGACAATTTCCATTTTTCCAATGCATTAAAATTATCTGTGCTTTGTGATAAACCCATAGACTTAAGTGTCTCAATTAATGATTGTTGAAATATCTTACACTCTTCAACCAACTTTTCTTCAAGTTCAGCTCTAAGTTTTGTTTCCAATGTTGCAAGTTGTTCATTTACGTCAATATGTTTACGTGATCTTCCAAAGTAAGTGCCTTGTTTATGGTGTTTTCCAACACCACGAACACGACCTCCATGCTCAGATGTTTCAATGGATAATGTTAAGATATCGTTACGTTCAACTGGAACAATTGCACCTTTTTCAGATTCTTGAACTAGAGAATCCTACAAAATCAAAAACCACAATTAATCAATCACAAATATAATGATACTTGAAGTATTTTTCATTGTTTACTTACAATTTTTTCAGCAACCTCTTGTGTAGATTTTGATGTGTATTCTCCTCCTTTCTTTTGTCGTGCTCTCTTCCATAGCTCATGGCGTGATGGTGGAGATGGACTACCATTATCATCTAATGTGGAATTATCTCTTGATGATGACTTTTCTTTCATAATTTTCTCCTTAAGCAAGCGATGCCCTCCACGAGACAATAAGTGTGGGTATACATTCTTAGCCACATTATACTTACCCTTTTGACTTTTTCCTATTATAAACTCAAAAAGTTATTAATCACTAAATATAATAAAAATGTTATGCACACAAAAACATATAACTCCTACTAACCTTAAATTTAGGGGTATCTCGAATCTTGAGAAACTCTTTTCATGCGTCTTCTGTAATAAAGTTATACTTGACATATGGAGGAGGATCATTTTCTATGGGATGATTAATATATATGTTTGTGAGTTGTGTCTTAAAACCTCTCCATCGCTCTCCCGCATATTTAATCCATTCTTTCTTCAGCCTATCCTTCTTTGGATCTTTACATTCTGGAACAGTGAAATGAGGCTACAAATATAGTATATCTCATATGTTGTTAATTAGTATATGATTATAAAATATAATAAAGTGTTGTATTTAAAATACCTAAATATCAATCCAAATAGCATCTTTTACGCCTTCATCTCTTTCTTTCCAATCATTTTTCACAATACTACAATACTACCGAGCAAGACATGCTATATAACTCTTAAAATGTGTAGCATTTTTACCAACACCAATACATTCATAGGTTCTTGGATTAAACTCGACCTTTATCTTTTCACCTGTTTGATGAACTTTGTCAATTTGTGTCATGAAAGTGGGACCTCTAACTCTTCTTTTATTGGGGTTACTAGATGAAGAAGGATTGTCGTTTGAATCACCCATGTATCTGTTTACACAAAATAAAAATAATTAAAAATAAAATTAAGCACAAAATAAAAACAATTAGAAATGAAATTAAGCACAAAATAAAAATAATTAGAAAATAAAGTAACGTGGAATTAACTTATAAAAAAATCTTACTAGTCCTCCCATATCCCTTCTTCATGGTCTATGCGAATAGCATGCACATCATCCCCTTCATTTTCTTCAATGAGTGTTGTACCCAAAAATTTGCTCTCTCATTTTATCAATATTTCCCCTCACAAGACTCTTTGAACTCCATACAGGATTAAGGTTTGCTCTACTCAAGACATCTCCTTGCACTGATGACCTGAAATTAGGGTTTGAGTTTACACAAGGATTTTTGGACTTCCAATGCTCAATGTAACTTTCATACTTCATGTTTGACCTCTAAGATTTCCCATACCAAGTTTCAAGCCTTGAATCAAATTTTTGCCCAGTCAATTGGACATTTGACCTAAAAATCAACTATATTGGGGAAAAAGTCAATTGTGGCCAATTTACAGTCAAACCTCATAATTTTTTATCCAAGTCAACATTGTAGACTCATATTAACCATTTGATCAAGTTTGGGCCACAACTCCTCAAGAAATTTGATCAGATCATCAAAAGGGAAAAATGGTCATTTTTAGGGTTTTGACTGTATAAGGGCAATTTCTGATTT